CAAATGGACATGGACAACAGGGGGATGGGAGCATGAGTTTGGGTGTGGGGGGAAGTTGGGGGTTAAAGGGGGGGATGAGGACACATTTGTAATACCTTAAGTAATAATAATAAAAAAAAACCACAGTACTTTTTTTTTTTTTTAAGTGAGGAGAGGGAAGAATTCTGGGCTGTCTGTCTTTCAGGGTCACATGTGGCATTTATCGGGCAAGTTATTTAACTTTTCTTACTATCAGTTTACTCCTCTGTCATATGGATGGTTTGTAATCTTGTGCTCCTTAAAGCCTGATGAGTCTCATCTGTGAGAGAGCATAAGAAGCCTGATTATCAAAGTGAAATAATATGGTGCCGTTAAATGTTAAGGGATACTTCACATACGGAATATTTTAACATATAGAGGAAGGTAATAAAGCTAGCAATAATGAAAAAATGTTGTCTTTAATATTTTAAACTATTTGAAGTCACTGTGGAGGCTAAAATGTATATACATATTTTGGCTCTTTCAGGCAAGTGGCAAAGATGTCTTTGGTAATCATATTTAGGTAAAACTGTTCACGGCAGTAAGATTTCTGTCCTGTTGCTCTTTCCTCTGGTTGGTTGATGGTACCAGCAATGTGTGCATCTATTTTCCTATTTTTCCTGCCTCATCTCATTTTCTACTTCATATCCTGTCTTTAAAAATTCTTCTGCTTAGGTAAGAGACTTATATGAAGATTATCTAGTTCATAATGGAGATTGCTTTATAGCACACAATGGAAAATTTTGTAAGAAAATAGAAACTTTTAGTGGGAAAAATCTGACTATAAATTGACAACAGAATCATATCTTTTAGCCAAAATTTAGACCTGTAATATATGACTACAACTTTAAGCTCAGGTTAAGAGACTCTATGAGGAAAACTGGATGTAGACAAACAGAATTCAATATTTTCTAAAATAATTAGTTCAAGTAAATAAAAAATGGAAGACTTGGAAATGGTTTAACGGATAAAATGCATTAAGTTATTCATTAGAATCTTTCTGCAAAAGATTTTCTCATTTAGAATTTATTACTATTAGCATACTTCTGTGTGAAATATTTATACTTAAGACATCACCCACAACATCAAAATTGCAGAGTTGGAATATTTCATTATCAGTTGGATTTTTATTTGCATCTGGATTTGCTTTTGGATCCTCACAGAAGTGGTTTCTATTTGCTATCTTGAAATCCTTAAGGCTGATTTATGAGCTTAAGCTCATTCGTTTAAATGAGTTTACAATGGCATGTATGGTGAGGGGTATTATTTAACATTTTCCGACATGCAAACTGTCTTGAATGTTTTTGAGGGGGAGAGGAGTTGTGACTTGGTGGGCAAGCCCATTTTCATTACTTTAATTGTGCGATTTATTAGGATTTTAAGCTTTTTATAAATGTTTTAGTGTTATAGGACAGAATTAAAAGGATTTAGCATAAAAGGAGTTTAACAAAAGGACTTTGCAACAGGATTGCAGTAGTTTTTATATTTGATGGATTTGGCTAGCTGGTTTTTATTTTAATCACCATGCTGCATTCTGTTAAATGCTGTAGAACAGGTGTGTGTAACGTCATTCTCTCTATTGTACATGCAAATAAACACAATTTTATATATAAAAAGTTAATCCTCTACAATTTGGAGGATTACAGTATGAGAGAGTGATGACTCCATTAGGCATCATGGAGAGTACATGCTACTATTTATACTGCATGAAAAATCAGGTTAATAGCTGCAGTGTTCATGAGATTGTAGAATTTTTATGCTCACACTTTAAAAATTGTATTTATTCAAACTATCCTCAATTAGATTATTTAAAGCAGAGTTAAGGTTTTGCTGTATAGTTTTCCCTCTCCTCTCCCTTCTCTATTAGGTGGCTGATCTTCTATAGAGTAAAGTTTGTGGTACTAATTGATCAGGTCAGCTCAGGTCAGCTAAACCAATGGAGTTCTTGAATTCAGGTTTGAGAAACCCAAAACAATCAAACCATTCTTGCCAGTACTATTTGCATTTTCATTAGTCAACATGTTAAAGTGGTGTGTTGAATACAGGTACAGGCTGTGAAGACCTTGCCGGCACCAGGAAGCAGAAGGAAAATAGCTATTGTTAAAGGTGGAGGTGAAATAGGTAGGAGTGAAGAGCTGGGCTTGTAGAGATGAAGTTCAGTCATAATTAATTTAGAACATAAATATTGTGGACTTTGGACCAGTTACTTTTTAACTCAAGCTTCGTTCAAGACATATTGTTAATTGTGAAATCTGATTTGTTTTGAAGTGGTAACAGCGTACAATCCATAGTTACTAATGATTTTTAAAGACTTAAACACTGATTGCTCTCGTTCCTAAAAAGTTTAAATAGTTATAAAGAACTTTATTAATAAACATTAATTATGTTTTTAGTTTGATCTTTATTATATTCTGGTGTTGATAATAGAGTCTGCCAAGGGATGATACAACTTGCCCTAACTTATTTTGTATAACTACTATATTTACAATTTAAAAGTATTTATATTATGTCATGTCACAGTCTAAATGTGTAACCATTAAGGTGCCTCCTCAGTATTAAAACCTTTTAATCTTTGGAGGGATCCATTGAAATGGAATATGACTGAGGAGACAGAAAATATTGTTTAAAAACTGTTAAAGTTCCCTGTCTCTCCCAAATATCTTCATCTTAAATTCCCAAAGAAATATATTCCTATTTTGAAATTGTTGTTTATCTTTGAGTTTATGCATTCCACACTTAATATAACAAAGTATGTATGTATGTAAGTATCTAACCACACATACAACTCATTTCTACCTTTTCCAAAAATTTGTAGTAAAATTGTAAAAATTGCCTAACAAAATTTACCATCTTGACAAATTTTAACTGTACTGTTTTGTAGTACTAATACATTCACAGACCTCTAGAACTTTTTCTGCTTATAAAACTGCAACTTTGTTCCCATTGAACAGCCCTCTCAATTTCTCCTTCTACCCCAGTCCTGGTAACAGCCTTTCACTTTCTCTTTCTATGAGTTTAACTACAAGCTTCACATAAGTGGAATAATAGAGTATTTGTCTTTTTTATCACTTATTTAACTTAGCATAATGTTCTCAAGATTCATCCATGGTTAGCCATGTGACGAGATCTCCTCCTCCTCCTCCTTCCACTCCCTGCCTGGATTTAGATACCTTTGCATTTCATGACTTCATTTTTCTACTGGTTGCTGCTATTATATTGGTTTCATGTCCTGTAATGTTGTTGAGTTCACTTATTATTATTATCCTGTCTGGGACATCCAGTATAGGGTTGAATGGGAACAGTTACATTGGGCATCCTTGTGTTATTGCTGATTTTAATGGAAATGCTCTGAAGCATTACCAATGATACTTGTAGGTCTTTTGTAAATAATTATTATTGGATAAGAAAATTTTTTGCTGCTTATTTTGTTGTTATCATGACTACCTGTATAATTTAATTGAATGCTTTTTCTGCATCTGCTGAAATAATAGGATGAATATGTTAATTGGTTTTATAATGTAAAATTATTACTATTGGGTAAATTCGACTTGGTTATAAGATTTTACTTTTTCTAATACATTGATATTTAGTTTAATATTTTTAAAGGATATTTGCATTTATGTGTTTTGAGAATGGCCTATAATTTTATATTTTCCCTTTCCTGACTTACCTTTATTTAGTTTTGACATCAAGATCATACTATTCCTGGGTAATTAGTTGGTAGAGTTGGGGGTGATTTTTTTGAGCTCCTGGAGAATGTGTATAAGATTTAAGTTTATGGCAATTAAAAGAAAGTATGTTTAATTTTAAAAAATAGTTATAGGTTTATTTATACATTTGCTAGAAACTAGTATATAAATTATATCAATTTGTAATGAATGGTTTGGTATCTCTTTGGCTGTAAATATTCTGAGAGCATGAAAATAATGGGCATTATGTAAGAATACTTCTCAAAATTTTGTTTTACATTTTATATTCCTTATCAGGTACTCAAAAGTGTGACAGCTTTGCAGAGAAAAGGCCCCTTCTTGGTGTTTGTAAGAGCACTGGATCTTCTGGGTAAGGAAATTTTAAAAATTCTTTGAACCATTTATTAAAAATTTATATTATGATTTCAGAGGGAAAACTTTGATGACTCATTTCCCCCATGACTTTAAGATGACTACTGTATTTTCAGTTAGTACACTCCTCAACTCGAACTCCTAACTGCAAGGAAAGCTAGGAAATGGTACTAGTTTTGTTAGTAAGAAAGGTGATTAAAACAGGTATTCTGGGAATCCCTCTCACATGCTTTTAGCTCATAGCATATGCTTTAGATTATGGATGCAATGGAGAAGGGAAGAATGTGTTAATAGTATAGCATGATTAGATTTTAGAGTCTTAATTGTGCTTTTTTTAGGGAAATGGTTTGCCTACATGTGTTATAAGTGTAAATTTGGGGGTTGAACTTGGCACAGATTTACAGTGTACTTAGCACTACGTCAGGTATGGATAAAGATACAAAAGTATGAAAACCCAGTTCCTTGTCCCAAACACTTAAGGATATAGCTGGGAAAAAAAGTATAGCACATAAAAAATAATTATGAAATAACTAGAGGCCCAGTGCATGAAAATCTGTGCACTCTGGGGCGGGGGGTGGGGGGGCTCCCTCAGCCCAGCCTGTGCCCTCTCGCAGTCTGGGATGCCTCGGAGGATGTCCACCTGCCAGCTTAGGATCGCTCCCCAGGGGGATCGGGCCTAAGCTGGCAGTCAGACATCCCTCTGGCAGCATGGGGAGTGGGCCTAAGTTGCAATCGGACATCCTTAGTGCTGCTGAGGAGGCGAGAGAGGCTCCCGCCACTGCTGCTGTGCTGGCCAGCCATGAGCCAGTTCTTGTGGAAGCGCACTGACCACCAGGGGCAGCTCCTGCGTTGAGCGTCTGCCTTCTGGCGGTCATTGCATATCATAGCGACTGGTCATTCCCTTTCATTCCATTAGGATCAATTTGCCTATTACCCTTTTGTTATATAGGATGATGTATAAAAGGACTTCGATGTAAGTAGAGATCAGTGTGTGTGTGGATTAAGTGGAGGCGGCCTCATGAAGAAGGTGCAGCTTGTGCTGGATCTAAAAGAATGGGAGGTTTGCCAATACATATAGAAGAGTAAGGACTTCCAAAGTAGTTATAAAGCTATAGCAATAGAACAGAAACTGGTATAAATACTTTTAAGAATGATAGAAGTTTATGATTTAGGACTAAGGTTATCTGCAAAACAGGCAGAAACAACCGTTTCAGTGCTCTGGAACTCAACCAGTGGTTTAAGTGGTAACAGTGGGAATCTGTGGCATTCATTCCTGGACCTGCTCTCCTCACACTCCACCGTCCTCCTTCTGATTTAATTAATTCTTCAAGAGTTGGGAAGATCATGAGAAGGGCACTTTCCCTGTTGTTGTTGGAAGATGCACATTCAACTTGGAGCTGCAGGGGTTGCCAGCCCAGGAGCGTTGTCCATGGTACAGTTTGGTCTAGGGCAGGGGTGGGCAAACTTTTTGATTCAAGGGCCACAATGGGTTCTTTTTTTAAATATATTTTTATTGATTTTTTTACAGAGAGGAAGGGAGAGAGATAGAGAGCCAGAAACATCGATGAGAGAGAAACATCGATCAGTTGCCTCCTGCACATCCCCCACTGGGGATGCGCCCGCAACCAACGTACATGCCCTTGACCGGAATCGAACCTAGGACCCTTCAGTCCACAGGCCAAAGCTCTGTCCACTGAGTGAAATCGCCAGGACCGGCCTCTGGGTCTACCCTGTGGCGGAGGGCACAGCCTCAGCCAGGACTGACAGACAGACAGGACG